ACGTCCCGCTGCCGCTCCTCATCGCGACCTGCGAGGCTGCCCTGAACGATCGCGTGCGGGTGAAGGAATGCGGTGACGGGCAGTCGGGAGGCTGACTGTGGCCGGGCTTCCTGAGACCGTCTGGCCCAGCCCAAATGGCTTGCCCCTGGGGTGTAAAACCCCCAGAGAAGGGAGGTCCTGGAATCTGGTAACAAACCGGCAGGTGGAAGCGGCAGGTGCTCAGTGGGGCCGGGGCTGCGGAGGGACAGAGACAAGACGAGGCGCAAGCAGTTTGTGGGGGAGGCAGCCTGGAGGCCATGAAATGAGCACCGACCTTTAAGCCAAGCTCGAGCAGGTGGGCGGAACCAGCCAGACGCAGCACGCCTGGTCTGTGAGGGGAGGCCTGGACCTCTGGCCTGACCTGGGTGAAGTCCGGCTCCTTCCAAGGAGGTCAGTGCAGAGGTCAGGGTCGCCCGGGCCCTGTCAGCCTCGTCAGCCCAGTCTCTGGCTATGCAGCACTTCCTGGTGGCCGGCCCTGGGAGGGCGTGGCCCCAGGAGTGACCGCCACCGCCTGAGAGAGCGAATGTGAGCAGGGCCACAGCATGCCAATGATACATCTGATAAAGGTTTAATCTCCCAAATATACAGGGAACTCATACAAATTAACAAAGGAAGACAAACAATCCAATTAAAAATGGGCAAAGGACCTACATAGACACCTCTCCAAAGAGGACATACAGAAGGCCAAGAGACATATGAAAAATGCTCAAGTTACTGATCATCAGAGAGATGCAAATTAAAATGACAATGAGGTATCACCTCACACCTGTGAGAATGGCTACCATCAACCAATCAACAAACAACAAGTGTTGATGAGGATGTGGAGAAAAGGGAACCCTCGTGCACTGCTGGTGGGAATGCAGCCATTATGGAAAACAGTATGGAGTTACCTCAAAAAATTAAATATGGAACTTCCATTTGACCCAGTGATCCCACTTCTAGGAATATATCCTAAGAAACCCAAAGCACCAATCAGAAAGGATGTATCATCCTATGTTCATAGCAGCACAATTTACAATAGCTGAGATCTGGAAACAGCCCCAGTGCCCATCAGCAGACGAGTGGATAAAACAGCTGTGGTACATTTACACCATGGAATACTCTGCTGCTGTCAAAAAGAAAGAACTCTTACCATTTGCAACAGCACGGAGGGACCTGGAGAGCATTATGCTAAATCAGAGAAAGACAAGTATCACATGATCTCACTCATATGTGGAATCTAATGAACAAAATAAACTGATGAACAAAAATGGACCCAGAGACATGGAAGCATGGAACAAACTGTTGAGCCTCAGGGGGAAGGC